CCCCCGCCAGCCGCTCCCGGGGAAACGCCTCGTGGAACTGGATGGCCGCTCCGTACACCTGCGTGGGGCGGGCAGTCAGAGTGGGACATCCCCCCTGCCACTGCCACCTCTCCCCCTGCCAGCCCAGACACCCTCCCAAGCCCGTCCTGCCTTGTCACCCGAGGCGCCGGTCAGGACGAAGGTGGAGAAGACGGGCAACGGGTATTTGGTGTCGGCCGGCCAGCTCTCGATGGTGGCCCCCATGGGCAGGCAGAAGACGGGCACCGAGTCGGGCAGCGGGAAGGATTCGCTGTCCTGCTCGGGGTAACGTCCCAGCAGCCCTGCAGGGACAGCCGGACAGAAGGATGAGCCTCACTTCATTTCTCCTACGCAGTTGAGAACGAGGAGGGAGGGAGCGGCTGGGTGGGCACCCAGCAGCCTGCCAAGGTGAACCCACAGCAGGTCGACACCCCACAATCGCCGTGAGAGACCCTACCTGCTTCGTAGACCAGTGTGTTGGCCTTGGCCATGGCGATCTTGTAGCACAGGAACAGCGCAGGGCCCCACTGCAAGGAGGGAGCGGAGAGAGGGGTCAGCGTGGGCCAGATGGCAGCGGGGACACCCCGGCAGCGGGGAGAGGGGGGAACCTTGGTACCCACCATGCTGGTGTTGAGGTTCTTGTCCACCCGGCAGAAGGTGTGAGGTGTGCTCTCGCCTTTGCTGGGCATGATGAGGCAGATGTCAGTGACCCCCAGCGTATTGTGGCCGTGAGGTTCGGCCGCCCGCCGGTACGTCAGGAAGGTGCGTTGGTGTCCCGGCCCCCCCGAATTGAGGTTGGCCGAGCGGCTGTAGGGTGTCGTGTCCAGGATTTTATAGCCCGGCTTCGGGCGGTCCTTACCCTCATAGTGCACCCTGGGTGGAGAAAAGGGGTGATGGGGACCCCCAGGGAGCTTGTGTGTGTGTGTCCCCCACAGCCCCGGCCCCCGGCACTCACCCCAGCTCAATAAGGGGGGGTTTGTCCCGGCTCCGTTTGTAGCATATGAACATCTGGGGGTTGTTGAGCAGCCCGGCGTTGAGGTCAACGGGATGGCCCGAGGTGGTGGTCTCGATGCAGGTGAAGCCGTGGGGCACCTCCTCGCCCTGCGAGCGGATGATGACGGCCACGTCGGTGATGGGCTCGCTGGGGCGGGCGGCGCGGTGCTGCTGGTTCTCCTCCTCCAGCGGCCGCGAGGTGTCCGTCAGTCCGGCCACCACGAAGTAGTCCACCAGCTGCGGCGGCTTCTCGTCCGACATGGCTCACGGCATCTAGGGGGGGACACAGCAGGATGGGTGACACCCCAACCCTGCCCCACAACCCCCTTGAAGCAGCCGTCCCCGGGGCCCCGCGGAGCAGGGAAAGCTCCTCCGTCCCGGCAGGGTGGCAGCATGGGATGCCCCAGGGCTGAGCTGGTGGCTGTGGGGCACGGCAGAGCTGACGGGGCAAAAGCACCGGGGACGGGAAGGGAGGAGGCTTCCGGTCATGCCGCAAAGCGCAGGGCGATGTGATGGGGACCCCCACGGCTTAAGGGGGGACAGCACCCCACCCCAAGCACACCGACAGCCCTCGGGCAGCGCCTCTGAGACTGGACCCCCACCCTGCGGCGTGGTCCCCCCCCAGCTTGGTGGCCTGCAGCACTGGCCACTGTCCCACCCACACCC